AGGGCTGTTACAAGATTTTCTAAATTTGATCCGCGAAATCCGCGATTTCTCAAAAGAAATCCGCGACTTCAAATACTAATCCGCGACAAAAAAAAAACTGTTTTCATTGCCTAAAAATAGCATTTGTATACTACTACATGGCATTTCAAGCTTAATACTTATAGCATATTAGATTTTTGCCTGCTCTCAACCTAGTGTTCTTTGAAGTACTTTCACATTTTAATTGAGAGCTTTCTATGCCTGTACCATCCTATGCCCAAGAAAGTAGAAAAATTTTCCAACTCTAAAAATTAATAGACCGGACGGGAATCGAACTCAGTCGCCTCCAGGTTGAACTTGCAATTATCATCAATTTAACAAATATTTACAAACGATAATATCACTGCCGGATGGTGGGAGTTCACGCCGGTGACGTATACCGAGTCGTGATGGCGAAGATCAGAGGTCCAACGATGCCCGCTAAAATGTGCCCAGAGAAGCTGAAAGTCATCGTGGAAGGACTTTTCCCGAAGCACGACCAAACGACCTGGCCACCTACATCGTATGGAAAGACAGAAGGAGAGGAACCAATAAGGAACTCGTAGCAGTGGCCAAAGGATTGAAGGTGAAGAAAGCTCCCGGTCCGGATGGAATGTGACATGTTCAGAATGGTGCTGCAGAAATGCCTGAACGAGGGTCACTTCCCTGACAGGTGAAAGATACAGAAGCTAGTGTTGCTGTCGAAAACAGGAAAACTGCCGGGGGATCCAGTATCGTACAGGCCCATATGCTCGATACACTCGGTAAACTCTTGGTTCGGATTCCGGAAAGGGAGATCAACGGTGAATGCAATTCGGACAGTGGTCGAGAGAGCAGAGAAGGCGTTCAAACAGACGCGGAGAGGAGATCGATATTGCGCCGTGATAACGACCGACGTCAAGAATGCGTTCAACAGCGCCAGGGTTATTTCCAGAACCGGGTACTGGTCTACGAGACAGACATGGGACAGAGATCGATTATGATCACAGCGGGAGTTCCACAAGGTTCCAACGCTCAGGAACGGGATGTACAACTGCGTGCTAACGCTCAAGCTGCCCAAAGGAGTTTAGATCGTTGGCTTTGCGGACGACGTCGTCAGGCGAGACGCTGAAAGAGGTGGAAGTGTTGGCAACCGAGGCAATCGACATGCTTGGTAACTGGATGCAAGGAGCGAAGCTGCAGATAGCCCACCACAAAACGGAAGTACTGTTGGTCAGTAACTGTAAAGCGGTACAACGAGCAGAAATCACCGTCGGGGAGCACGCTATAGCCTCGATGCGCGTGTTGAAATACCTGGGAGTGATGATCGATGACCGGCTAAACTTCAACAGCCACGTCAAATATGCCTGTGAGAAGGCTTCGACGACCATCAACGCGATAGCTAGAATCATGCCTAACAACGTTGATCCCAGCAGTAGCAAGAGGCGTCTTCTGGCCAGTGTGTCGTCGTCGATACTGAGGTATGGAGGTCCAGCCTGGGTTGCAGCGCTGGAAACGAAGCAGAACCAAAGGAAACCGAGCAGTACGTTCCGGCTCATGTCCATGCGAGTCTTGAGTGCGTACAGAACCATCTCGTCGGAAGCAGTATGCGTTATCGCCGGAATGATGCCTATCGGCATCACCATGGCGGAGGACAGCGCGTGCTACAGGCGGAGAGAAGCCGGAAGAGTACGGAAAGTTGTGAGAGTGGAGTCGTTGGCTAAGTGGCAACAGGAGTGGAACACGGCGGAGAACGGAAGATGGACACATCGTCTAATACCAATTCTTTCGACCTGGGTTAACAGAACACACGGAGAAGTCAACTTCCACCTAACGCAGTTCCTGTCTGGCCACGGCTGCTTGAGGAAATACCTGCATCGCTTCGGACACGCAGCGTCACCCCTTTGTCCGGAGTGTGGCAACGTCGATAAAACGCCGGAGCATGTGGTCTTCGACTGTCCAAGGTTCGAGACAGTGCGAAGGGAGATGCCCGGCCTTAACGTGGAGAATGTCGTCGTTGAAATGTCGTGACGTTTGACTACACTGAGGCAAAGGAACGTGAGAATTCCATAAGAACCACTTATGAATTTTCGACAAGAGAATTTCTTATGAAAATCATAAGTTTGGCTTAAGAAACATAATTCACAAGTTCAAAAAATAAGTAATGTCAAATTTAGCATACCGGTATTGATCTCTGAGCATTCAGATTATTGGCTACGTGATTTGCTCTCATGTCTATCAACGCTTGGAATATGTATTAGGTTAAAGGCGTATTTGTGTTTGTGTGTTTTGGACTTCGATATTTCCACGAAACGAGATTTACGTGATTTACAGGTACGCAAAAAATCAATATGGCGTTAACGAGCGTGGTGGAAGAACTCCTCAAAGATTCAAAATTTCTCAGCAGTTGGACGGTAATTAGATTCTTTTACATTAATTTATTTATGATTATATGTAGCCTTTTTCTAGTTTTATAATTTCAGACGGTGGCATCAGCATTTCGAGTCTGCACGCAGAGAAATGATTTTTAAATTCAAATGGATATGCTTTTGACTCCGGGCCTAATATGTTTTTCGTATTGATTCAAATACATTATTCAATTAATTCAACGAAAAATATTTTTGAATCAACAAACCGGTTGTAGAGTCGATAATCCGTTCTTTGATTAAAATATATGTTCTGTTGGAATAGTGATACAATATTTTTGAATCAATAACAAAATACATTAGGCCTTGAAACAAAAATTAATTTTTCTGCCTGTGCAAACAGGTGTTAATATTTTGTCTGAAATTAAAAAAAAACACTCATACACGTTTCTACCTTATAATAATCAATTAGTCAATATTTTACAATTTTATGAGTAGAATAAGTATTAATTTAAAAACGTGAAATAAGATAAATATCTTCCCGATAAAATTGCATAATATTGACTGCCTCTATATATACTTCCCATTATTCTCATTAAGAATTCACGTACAAATTACATGAAAAGGATTTTAAACAAAACGGAATGTCACGTAAAACTTACCAGATATTCAGTAGTTTTCACTCCGATTTCACGTTAGCAGTACGTGGAAATCAGGTGTTATTTAAAGGGTGTCCACGATGAAATTGCCACACTATGAAATTGCTCTAACTTTTTAACCGTTGGGTAGAATTTAAAGAAAATTTGGGTGGATTTAGTTCATAGTGCATTATTTACATCCTGCAAGTTTTAAAGTCCTGTGATCAAAACTCGCGGAAATTGAGTCGAAAGAACAGCTCGTGCGTGATAAAATCTTCCGCATTCATCACGAGAACAAGGATCTCTCGCATCGTTCCATCGCTAAAACGTTGGGAATCGCGAATTCCACGGTGTCGCGAGTGATTAAGCGGTTCGAGGAACGGTTGACCACCGATCGGAAGCCCAGAAGTGAAGGAAAAAGTATTCCGTACAACACCAAAAATCACAACCTTCAACCGAAATCCGAACGCCTCCGTTAGGGATGTGGCTAAGAAGCTGCACCTAAGCCGAAGTTTTGTCCAGAAGGCCAAAACTAAGGCTGGGCTTCGAACGTTCAAGGTACAAAAGGCCCCTAATCGCGACGAGAAGCAGAACAAGTCCGCCAAAACCCGTGCCAGGAAGTTGTACCTCAACATGCTGACGAAAGTTGAATGCTGCATCATGGACGACGAAACATATGTGAAGGCCGACTTCAAACAGATCCCCGGCAACCTGTTTTTCACGGCCAAGGATAAGTTCAGCGTTCCGGAGCATGTCCGCACTCAGAAGATGTCCAAATTTGCGAAGAAATTCCTGGTTTGGCAAGCCATCTGCACGTGCGGGAAGCGGAGTGCACCTTTCGTGACCCAGGACACGATGAACGGACAGATGTACATAAAAGAGTGCCTCCAGAAGCGGCTGCTTCCTCTCCTGAAGGCCCACAACGTCCCAACAATCTTCTGGCCGGATTTGACCTCATGCCACTACTCCAAGGACGTGCTGAAGTGGTATGCGGACAATAAGGTCAATTTCGTGCCGAAAATGTTCAACCCTCCCAACACTCCGGAGCTCCACCCCATCGAGAAGTACTGGGCGATTATGAAGCAGCACCTTCTTAAACGACCTAAGGTAGTGAAGACAGTCGAGGAACTGAAGAAAGTATGGGTTTACATGCAAAAAACGGTTGATTCACAGGTTGTGCAGAATCTTATGGCCGGGGTTAAGGCCAAGGTGCGGGCATTTGCGTATGGACTGTAAATAAAATACGAGTAAAATGGTAAAATGAAGTTTAATAGTTATTTCTCAATCCCTGAAAATTTGATGGCAATCGGATGAAAACTCGAATTTTGCGAATCAATTTTGTGTGTGGCAATTTCATCGTGGACACCCTTCACCTGACTAATCACGTAGATAATAGAAGCTTAATTTTGATCGGCTACGTGCAATTCCGGTAAAAGTTACGTGAAAAATATACGAAAACCACCTATGATTTCACGTCAATCGGAAGTGAATATTTTTCAGAGTGTACGAGTAAAAGTCGAGAAATTTGTCTACCCGAAAAATTCCTATACCGGACCGGAAATCAAACCTAGCCACCTCCAGCATGGTCTTGCTTTATATAGCTGCGCCTTTACCGACCAAGCTCGTACGCGTCGTGTGGGATGCCGCAACGACTGTGCAAGCAGTATCCCTAAGTCTGCAGCTGTTGAAAGGGCCCGATATGCTCGTCGAACCCCTAATAACCCGATAGTGACTGGGTAGCTTGGTTCTAGTTAAAGTATTCAAGCCTTTCAAAAATCCTAGTATTACCTGCTGCTCAGCGATTTCTCAATAGAGAAGAACCATATTTTTCCCATGAAAAATAAAACAGTTTAGCACGCAAGTCTTTAGAAAGCCCTTGAGCGTCTCACCACAAATCCAATCGAACCTAAAACCACCTGACCGACACTCGCCTGCTCAGCGTTTTCGGTTGCAACATGATCCCTTCTGAAATTCAATGTGCAAATTTGCTCCTACTTACCGAAACGCGTGGTGAGTATTCCTGTACTTCTGATGGTAGGTGGCATCGGCCAGCAGCGTTTGGACCCGTTCGAACGGCATCAGCACCGCTTCCACCGTCCCCGCCGCAATGCCGGCGATCGACTTTGCCGCGTACTGATTCACCCCGCAGTAGTCCACCAGTGGCCTTCGCGTTCCGTCGTACACTCCGAACATCAGCGACAGCGAGATGGTTTTCTGCGCTAGAGGGGGGAAAATTCCCCGGTACAAAAAGGTGATTCCTTCGCTTCGAATCTGCCCGAAAGCCTGATTCAGGTGCACACCGTGCAGCATCTGTCGGAAGATCATCTTGTAGATGGGATATGTTACGGTGATGTTGACGAAAGCTGCTCCCCAGCCGCAGGCAAATTCGCGCCAACACATCAGCCCGGAGCTCCCCCGGGCATTGTCCAGCTCCGTACCGGCCCGTACAACGGCCATCGCTTGGGCGGTCGTTTCGCTTGATGAAGGAATTTTGCGCCTATATTCGATTTCTGTTTCCCCGTGTTAGGTGGATTCTCCCTTCGCAACCAGCTGAAGTGTGGTTGAATAATTTTAGAACCAGATCGCTGGTCACCGCCGTCGCGTGTCTGCCAAATCTCTATACGGTTCGAGGCGTTTCAGCCAAAATCAACATACCAATCCGTAACGTAAACGTTGCTCACTCGTTTGTTTCCGCTGGTGCAATGTTCTCATCGTTTCATCCGGATCTCGCACCTGTGGTTCAACTGCGCTCATAGCCGAATCGATTCAACGCCAGCACCGACTCGCTCTACTCGAATCGCAGCTTGGAACATTTAGCCTGCCCACTTCCAATCAACAATACTTCATCTATACAGAATAGAACCCCGCTCCTCTCGTTATGTAACACACGATGTGGTAATTCCTTTTCACAAACACGCACGATTCACTCACTCAGACCAACCGCTACTAGTAACTATGTAGCTAAAAAATAATCACGTTCTATTCATGTCACATCGGTCTGCGGAATGCGGGGGTGGAGATGCTTTGTTTACTTCATTGTTCAGCTGTTTCAATAGGCCAGCGCAAAAAAGCAATATTACGTGCGGGCATCCGACCAACGGCTTCTGGTGATTCTGCTGCTGAGCTGCTGCGCCTGTTGAACTTCCTGTTGTTTTTTTGTGTTGTCCGAAGAGATTCCACCAATTTCGGTTATTCGATAGACTTCTTGCACCCCGAGCTGCAAGGTGCGGGGGCCTGTCGCGTTCTATCAATAGGAATGTAGAAATACGATAAATTTAGCACTGTGTCGTTAGTTTTCGCAAATTAATGAGCTTTTACTTCTAATTTTCCCTGCCAAAAGCAGCTGTTTCGATTTGACTTGACGTATCACAAGGGCAGGGTCGAACTATTTCAGTATGTTTGACGGGGAGCTCCATGGGTCTTCGAAAATAGAGCAGTGCCCGCAATGAGAGTACAGACATCACCCGCTGGTTGGATGCAACCACATGCGGGAGAAATAATCATAAAATTAAAGTGCTTTGCTTTGGTTTATACCCTAATAAAAATAACCATATCAGGCATAACATTTGATAACGGCACAAACGAGGGCACAAAAGCATTTGTAAACAAACTTTCTAAGGCCCTTTACACGCGAACCAAAGTACGCCCATGCAAACCAACAACATCATCGGATAGGGGCAAATATCACCTTTCCGAAAGTGGTACACACAAAAAACAAAAATTGTATCAATAAAAATCATGCGTTTTCAAAATAATAGTTTCCCAGCTTTGATAGTTTTAACCATGAAAGTTTTTAAAACAAAAATATTTGGTTTGGTTTGAACGTGTATTTTTCACTTTTGACTTGTATTTTTAAAAGTGCATATTTTTAAAATGAAAATTGTTTAACTGTCAAAAATACCTTGTCATAGCAACGTTTTTGGCAGCACTGGACATACATTTGTCGCTAAATTTAACCTTAACGTCAAAAGTCGCAAATCATGTTCCTTGTGTGGAATGAAACTGAAAATCAACATTAAATCCGCTGGATATTTCAGGCAATATTTTTACTATTGTCGGCGAGATTGTCGGTTACGGAATCCACTGTGACATCATTAGTTAAAATTGTAAGTATTTAATAATCAATGTTATTGTGTGAAGTTATTTAGATTTTTTCAGACGATAAAATCTACCAATGAATAGATCCGAAACAACCCTAGAATCAACAGTCAGCCGAAAAAATCCACCTGCAACTTTGTGATATCGCAATACGATGACAACGATTTTCTACTCACTGCAAACCTGTGGATGATGTCTTCCGAAACCCAGCATAATTAATATATTTGTATTCATGTGGATAGCAGTAATAAATATAGTTGTAGTTCTTTTTTTTAATTTATGAAACATATGTTACTATCGATTGAATAAATATTTATTAGAATTTAAAATGAAAATTATTATTGCAATGTTGAAAATGGTTGTATTTTAATTGAAAATATTTTTTTATAGATTCAAAACGGCACATGTTATTACAACTTTACCAAACTTTCATGACAAAAGTTTGATTTGATACAAAAATAATCCACTTTTAATGATAATACTATCATGTTTTTCATTTCACAGTTCTACAATTCGTTTTGAAAGTTTCAACTTTTAAAAGTAACATGCGAGGAACTTTTGAATTGACAGTTAGCTGATTTTTGTTTTGAAAGCTAACCGCTTCCTACCAAAAAGAACCAATGCAAATTTTCAATTCTACCAAATGGTATTTTTAATTTTAGCAACGGTTTTTCTTTGTGTGTATTGGTTTGCGTGGGCGTACTTTGGTTCGCGTGTAAAGAGCCTTAGAAAGTTTGTTTACAAATGCTTTTGTGCCGTTATCAAATGTTATGCCTGATATACACCTAATTTAAATCACTGAAAATCAGATGTTTTTTTGTTAATCGGTTCAAGTTCCATACTCGTTGGCGACGATCTGAAAACAGAGCATTTGGAATCTTCATCCAATGCTTCCCTGTTTTCAGTGTAGCGCCGAATCCTTCTGACAAAAACTTGTTTTTGTTCATTGGTGGAGCAATTTCCAACACTAACACATTAATCACGAATGCAGCTAATTTTGACGTAGGACTACGTCTGTGATTTCTATACGAGGGTGTACTTAGTGAAAACCGAAAATGGGACATGTAACAAAATTATGAAAGATTTTGAACGTTAATAACTCAGCTGCCCCTGAACCAATCTCAATAATTTTATCACCAATCGATCAGAAATATTTCTACGCATCATTTTTCATAACGTCACTTTTGAAAAGTGCACGAATGTGCAACTGTTGTTAGGATAATTAAAATTTTCACCGATTGCTTGCGAAAAGCGATTTTCCTAACACAGATTTCAAAGTTGATTTTCATTCGGTCTCACCAAACGGTGTTTACTCAATCACCGCGTGGAGAGTGGTGGTGTTCTCCAGTACACAACGAAAGGCGAGACGAAAGGCTCCCCGCAAGCAGCTAGCTATCAAGGCTGGCCTCAACCGCTGCTCAGATTCAGTTCCAATCACCGTGTGTGGTGGTGTCCGGTCGTCGGCATCAGCAGCAGCAGCAGTAGTGCTTTCGGCGCGTGGCGTTTAACATTGTTCTCCAGTATACAACGAAAGGCTGCCTAAAAGCTGAGAGCTGCAGCCCACATGAGCAGCCATAGAAGGAGGAAGAAGCCCCACCGCTATTGATCGGAATTAGTAGCTCTTCGTGAGTCGCTGTGGGCCATCTATGTCAAGTGCGTCATACTAAAGAGTATAAACAGAGAGAACCCCGCTCAAATTCCTATTTCTACGTAACACACAAGCTCCTGCTGCAGTTAAAAAATAAGATTTTTTTATATAAGACCACGTAGTCCTACGTCACCATTGCGTACAACCCCATAAGGCTGTCCCTTGTCGTTTTTTTGCATGGATTGCAGCTCGGGTTGCAGTGACCGCCACTCTCGCCGCCACCTTGAACAATATCAAAGCCAATTGTAGTTGAGTCGGTTACCTTTTTAAAAAAATTAACATGGCGCATGATGAGATTTTTCGTCCAAAACGAAGTGCTATCGCAACACTCGATTTTGGATACTTTCACAGAAGATAAAGATAAAGAATCCTCAAAAATAAAAGCTCTCACAAGACTGCTGCTGAAGTACAATTAATGTACAGTGAGACGTTATCGTAATACTTCACGCTTAAGTTAAAAGTACTCATCAATGAGAACAAAATTATACCCAAAACAGTAGTGTTGCGGGAGTACTTATTTTTAAGTACTTTCGATCTCGATTTTGAGTTGTTTCGTCTTTCCGTGTATCGTCCTCAAAATTACTCAATTCTCCGATAAAGTCGACTACAAATCAAGCAATGCACATCGGTAAACGTTACCGAACGTTCGGTAAATTTGACAGCTAATTTTGCTGATTCAGTTTACAGATTTTTCGGCAATGATCTCGATTACCGAAAACATTACGGACCGTTAAGCTGTTGAGAATTCGGTAAACATATTACCAAAGTTGGTGATTCTTTCTAAGTATGTAGCGAGATACACACTTGATCTAGCTCGGTAAAATCTCCAACAGCCGATTACCTCGGCATTTAGTTTTGCTATTATCTCTGCAAAATATCTTTTTGTTAGCTGATATTTCAGCAAATAGTTATTTACTAACTGAGTCTTGGCAATTGTTTTACTGAATCTCAGCAAAATAAGTTGCAGAACTACTCGGCTTTTGGAGTCTCGGCGAAAAAATTAAGTGTGTATGTAGGGGGCCACCAAACGACGAATAACAACTTTTGACTGAAAAACCATATTTTTAGCATGAAAGCTAGCGATCTGCTTAGGCTGTGTTCCATTTCGTAAATTTTCACTTTAATTTGACAGAAATGAAAATTTTCCAAATGGAACACAACCTTAGGCTGTGAACCATTTGCCGAGTTAAATTTAACTCGTGGTTAAAAGTGACATTTCGAAAGTTATTTTTTATGTTCGAAAATCCCTGTGCTGTCGATCGACCGGTTTTCGAGAAGAACTTAGCCAAGGTTGTCAAAATTTAACTTCTTGTCTGTCAGAAGTAACCACGCTCGAAAGGTTATCTTCCATTTAATTCCACTTAATTAATTTTGGTATCCATGACAGATACGTATTTCGACTACAATGTGCAGTCTTCATCAGTGTCATTCCCACTAAAGAACTTATCAAAATCTAACCCCCTTAAGTACTCATCCCCTAGGTAAAAAAGTCAAGATCATAGGTATACAAATGAAACTACAATGTGTTGAATCGGAACCTACCTAACTAATAAAAACCAAAGATTTAAGTAAGCTAAAGGAGAAAAATCTATAAAACTCTCTAAAAAGGAAAATCCCCAAAGGCTTGGTAGCCATCCTAATGAAGTAATGAAATAGGGTTGTTAGCGGAATGCTAAATAAAACAGCAAAAAAGGTTATCTTCCATTTAATTCCACTTAATTAATTTTGGTATCCATGACAGATACGTATTTCGACTACAATGTACAGTCTTCATCAGTGTCATTCCCACTAAAGAACTTATCAAAATCTAACCCCCTTAAGTACTCATCCCCTAGGTAAGCCTTTGGGGATTTTCCTTTTTAGAGAATTTTATAGATTTTTCTCCTTTAGCTTACTTAAATCTTTGGTTTTTATTAGTTAGGTAGGTTCCGATTCAACACATTGTAGTTTCATTTTTATACCTATGATCTTGACTTTTTTACCTAGGGGATGAGTACTTAAGGGGGTTAGATTTTGATAAGTTCTTTAGTGGGAATGACACTGATGAAGACTGCACATTGTAGTCGAAATACGTATCTGTCATGGATACCAAAATTAATTAAGTGGAATTAAATGGAAGATAACCTTTTTTGCTGTTTTATTTAGCATTCCGCTAACAACCCTATTTCATTACTTCAACCACGCTCGGATAGCAGGGTTAATCGATAACTTTCCATCTGTCAAATTTTAACCAAAAGTTAAAATAATCCACCAAATGTTTCAGAGCCTTAATATGTTAAACATTGCTATCACTGTGAGATTATATGTGTTTAATTGGAAATAGGAATAACTTTTCGGTCATCAAAACAAAACTTTATTTTTCTCGGATCGGTACGAATGTTACTTGCGGCATAATGAAAATTTCGAGGAAAACTTACTCTGTACTGTATTATTTGCGTTACATAATGTTTGAACACTCAAAGATAATTTAAATCAAAAATGCAGATTCCCACTTCACCTTATTGAGTCCGAGCCATGATTACTTCGACAGTAGTCATGCATGATTAAATTCGAATTAATCTTTCCAGCAATTAATTTTTTTTATTTTTGAACATTAATATATAATGAAAAAAGATTAAAATTCAATGAAAAAATATTGAAATTGATCCAACAATGATTGAAATTTATTAAAAAAGAGATAATTTTCAATCTAATCAACCTTGATTAAACCATAGAGGTAACTCTAAGACCACTGGGTCCCGAAGAAAATCATTATTATTTTTGGCTCACTCAGTACCAGAACAACGGTCCCAAGCAGTCCCAAGCTATTTCACTCACCCCTGCATGTTCTGCATGAATCCACACACCCCTGATGTTATCTGTCAAACTTTCATAGCGAATCAAAACAAACATAGTGTAGTAATAGAATTTCAACTAGAATAGGGTACGTTAATCGTTTGCTTGGGACCAATAGGCTACTGAAGTGGTGAGCCAATTTAAAATCGTTAGTTTCGTATTGATTGTTGATTAAACTGGGTTTAATGTCGTATAATTATTTTTAAGAAAAAGGATATTAATTTTTAATCATTCGATATGATTAAACTGAGTTTAAAGTCAAATTGATTAAATTTCAAGCAATATGGGAATAGTTTAATTTATCAGTGAACGGACCCTAATCAAGTTGTCGGTGTTTGGTGCATGCCGCCCTCCAAATCGTCCAGCTCTATTTTCGAACGTTGAAGTCGCGCAGAGCTGTCATCGCACGCTTTTTCGTACACCATCAGGAATGTTTACGTTTTTCCAAAAAACCGGTGTCGCGCCGCGCCAGTCGTTTGATTTTTGATTTCAAATTTCCGATCACAGAAAATTTCCTGCGGTTTTCCATAATCCATCCAAGCTTTTCCAAGCATGGAAAACAGACTTAATCGATACGAAAAGCTAGACTTTCTGGGCGAAGGTCAGGTAAGTATCGGCAAAACTTTGGTTCAGGTTAAAAGAAACTAATCCCTTCTGCAATCCACAGTTTGCCACTGTCTACAAAGCTCGGGACATTGAATCGAATGAGATTGTTGCTGTGAAGAAGATCAAAATCGGTAACCGAGAGGAAGCGGCCGATGGTATCAATCGTACTGCATTGCGAGAAATTAAGCTCCTCCATGAACTGCATCACGAGAACCTCATTGGATTGCTGGACGTTTTCGGTCACAAGAGCAATGTTTCGTTGGTGTTTGACTTTATGGATACCGATTTGGAAGTCATAATCAAAGATCCGAAGATAGTGTTGACCCCGGCGAATATCAAAAGCTATATGATTCAAACGTTGAAAGGGCTGGAGTATCTGCACCAGTTCTGGATTTTGCACCGAGATCTGAAGCCAAACAATTTGCTAATCAGCGGAACTGGCATTCTGAAGATCGGTGATTTTGGTTTGGCCAAGTTTTTCGGATCTCCCAATCGAATGAACACCAATCAGGTGGTGACCCGGTGGTATCGCTGCCCGGAGCTTCTGTTCGGAGCTAGACAATATGGAACGGGAGTGGACATATGGGCGGTGGGATGCATACTGGCGGAACTGTTGCTGAGGGTTCCATTCCTTCCGGGTGAAAGCGATCTGGACCAGTTGACTCGAATCTTTCAAGTGCTGGGAACTCCTACGGATGAGAACTGGCCGGACGTGAAATCGCTGCCGGACTATGTGCAGTACAAGTACTTCCCGCCCATTCCGTTGCGGGACATTTTCACTGCGGCATCGGATGATTTGCTCGAGCTGGCCAATAAGCTGCTGGCCCTGTATCCGTTGCATCGGGGCACATGTACCGAGGCGCTCAAGATGTCGTACTTTTCCAACAAACCTGCCCCGTCCATTGGCAACAAGCTACCGATGCCGGCCAGTTACTACGCGGGAAGCAAGGACAAGGAGGACAAACAGCCCACGTTGAAGCGCAAACTGCCGGACAGCGTCGACGGGGGGACACTTCCGAAGCGGTTACAGTTCTAAGGCGGTGGTGAGTAAAGCTTCTTCTTGATTTTCTTTTGTTCCTACGGGCAGGTTCGTTCCTTAGCAGTTAATGTTGAATAAAAGTATTTTCGTAAAATTGCATTGTCTGCCGGTGGTAGTAAAAGAAGGCCCTGCTTGTGAAATCCGTTATATTGTAGAATTTAAGAGTTCAAGTTATATTTATGACACCGCTAGTTGGGTAAGCAGACCATAATTCTGCTTTTTTCGATATTTTGCAGTATATTAGGATTTTACCTAAATAAATATTTTCTCTGATATAATCAGAGTACCACAGCCGCTCATTTAAGGCAATGTTAAAGTTCTGTAACAGTTAATTTTATTATACTAACGTAACACTATCGATAAAATTGTCCTTTTAATAGTTTTTTCAACTATTGTTCGAAGATTGCTGTTATGTATTTAAAAAAATGCTGTTATTTAACAAGTAAAAGCACTTTAGTTTTTTAAGAAACTTTGTTTTAAGCATGCATACTATATTTCTACCCACCAGTGCTTTTAGTCCAAGAACACTCGTAAGCGTGATTACCTCTCACCCCAGCAGGCCTGGGTTCAATCCCAGTCGGCGCCGCCGAGATGTTCTGAGGCATAACATCTCTGATCACGCCTTCCTTCGGAAGGGAAGTAAAGCCGTTAGTCCCCGGTTCATGAGTTGAAGGGTCGATAGGTAGGATAAAGGTGTAGAAGCTGCCTTCCTGACGTCGGTAGCATTGGAGCTCAGCACGGAAAACAAGATCGACGGAAAAAAGACACCTTAGACAAAACAATAACAACGCGTGACGCCTGACATTTTCGTTGATCACGCAACTGGAAAGACGTTTTTCTCAGCAATAATACATATTTCAGCAAAAGTAATAATAACAAATGAAAGTTAAGGGTTTTTTTTTAGATTCTTTATTAAGGAGATTTTTAGCCTACGGCTAGTTCATTTCCGATGAAAGTTAAGGGATTTCCACGTGTAAGTATGTGTAAAAAATTATATACAGTAACCCCTCCGTATATGCGCTGTTTCTCGGCTATCCTTCAACCAATTACGCTGATTGTTTTATGTGATTAGTGTCAACCATAAACTAGCTAAACAGAAATCAGCTCAATTGGTGGAAGGGTAGCCGATAAACAGCGGTAGGTGGACGGTACAATCCACCGCAAATACGGAGGGGTTGCTGTACCTATTGCAAATGATTTGAAAAAATAGCCCATTTTACAACGGTAAGCGGTATATGGGACATGAGCGAAGACTGGTACCATGATGGTGCTACACGCTATTTCAAATTTGGGTAGAATCCACCCAGATCGGTCAAAACTGAACCTACCCAAAAATTGGTAAACTGTGTTGGGAGTGACAAGTTGACAAATGAACAACGTCGATCGGATTCATGTCAATGTTGTTCATTTGTCAACTTGTCACACCCAACACAGTTTACCAATTTTTGGGTAGGTTCAGTTTTGACCGATCTGGGTGGATTGTACTCAAATTTTGGTAGTTTTCAAATATCGTGTACTGATCATTCTTGGATTGGCGTTTTGTTTTGTTTTATTGTTGTTTTACATCAACAGGCTGGATGAAGCCCCAATGATGTTAACCTTATCAACTATGGTAAAAAAAATACATTCAAGCATGGTCATAACATAAAACATATACTTTATAGTCAGTTAGGTACTCCTGCCGGCGAAAAACAGAAGAAAACTTTCGACAAAGCGCATCACGGGAGAGATGAAAGTCGAAAACAGATGCAACTCTGTTGAATGTTCTCTGCACTCTGCAAATAGCACCGTGTGCTCCATAATTTGTGCGACGTAGAGGCAGTCTTAACATAAGGTTATTACGAAGCGGTCGGAGTTGAACATTCAGGTCAATTTGCCTCAGGATAGCCTCGCAATCTGTCCTTCCTTGCAGGATATCGACCACGGTTAGGGCTCTGCTTGTGTCTCTTCTAGTCCGGAGAAGTTCTAGGTCGATAAGTTGACAACGGCTTTCGTAACTGGGTAATCGAAACGGATTATTCCAAGGGGAATCGAAGTGTGCTCTGCTTCTGTACGGACGCGAAAAATTTCCGAGTGTCAAATTTACGGTTTTATTTTTTCTTGGCGTTTTCTAATTTTAGTGCAATAAAGTGAAAGTGATCGGTTGGAAATGCATTCCAAAGTGTTTTTGTTTATCATAATCGATGATTCTGATTGGAAGCAGGTGCAAGAGCTTCTTTGAAGATCCGAAGGAATGTTATGAAATGTTTAGCTAGAATTAAGAGATGCAACAGTCTTTCAAGTATTGGCTTCACGTGCAAACCATCGTTCATTTGGTGAGTTCGTTCCAGTTTATTTGTTTACTTGTTTGGATACCATCTATCAGTTTTTTATAATTTTGTATTGAACATCTTTTCGAAGAGCCACGTTCATGCTGTAATTTGTCGAGCGCACAATTTGCACACGTTGATATCGAGTAGGAACGGCAAGAGAGTCATCCAAGTGCTTTTGTTTCTGGTTTTAGACGTTTGATGTCTTCAGTGATGTTTTTGTACTTTAAAGTTCCCTTTTCTGTGATCATGGTGGGTCTAAAGAGTTTTTGTTGAGCACGCTGAGGCTGAAATTGCATACCCCCTCCCCATGGACATGGAGGTTGACGGTACTGAAGCAAAGGGTTATGTTTAATTTCTTTATATTTGCAACGATGATGATTTCCTATAGTGACACATATCACCTTCTTAATGCTTCAGTATGCCTTAAACGATTAATTCTTGGCTGTTAATAGAACTTCCTTGATGAAATCGGCTGCTTCATGCAGACTGAGCAATTCTGATTGTAGTATCAGATTTGTTCTGTATACAGAAGAACTGGGAGGGCTTATTAGAAACTTCTCACCAATATAGTAAAGAGCTTCTAGAAAAGTTTGCATATAATTTTATTATAATTTCATTTTATTTAAGCATATTATTTTTGTTACAGTCAATTAGCATTAGCATACGATACAAGAGATTTAATATTACTTGCTCGTTTTTGCGTAAAATAATTAATATTTATTTTACTTGTAATTACCTTTGAAAGTTTTTTTTTTTAGTAACGTTTTGTTTGTAGTTTATATTTTATTTCTTTCATGTAATCATCGTAAATAATAGTTATTCAATAATAGATCGTTCATCCATATATTCGTACTTTGACGTGAAGCGCTGTGGATTATGAGGTGCTTGATGACCCTGGAGGGATCTTCCACAGCACAATAAATCGCCACCATCATTTGTATATTTGATATTGAACATTAACCTCGGAAACTATTTGCATATCAAGCGAAAACGTAGTCCTGTATTGTCGCGAAGCGTTATGGTTCTGAGATGCTCGATGACCCTGGAGGGATCGTTTTTACTTACTGAGCAGAAAATCATGGGTTTAATCCCAAGCTCTCCGTCACGACTCTTAAAATTCATGATAACTAAACAAAATGAATATGTTCTTTCGATAGCCGGCTATCGAGAGATTAAATAAACAACAAATAAACAATACATAATTTTGGTTGCATCGCCAACTTGAGGTGAATCCTAACCGAATACCCTACCCAACCCTCCAACTCCGTAGCACTTATGAGGGTGTCGCTAAGTCGGTGGCCTCTCGTTAAGTAAGTACTACATCAACATTTCCTTCCCTATCCCTAGTTATGGTAAAGATGGGCGTGGCCGGGAATAGCGACAGTCATGCTTCTGTTACTCTTGTTTCGATTGGAACCAATGTTTACTCCCCAGCATTATTCCTGAAAGTAGTCTAACTGAGAATTTCAGAAGAGACGTGAGTGTCGTTAGTATCCAATCTACGTATCCAATATATCATAACAACGCTAACGCTAACGCTAATCGAAACGGATCATTCCAAGGCAATCTACGCAACGCAAAACGAAGAAAGCGACGATTCAATTCTCTCGGCACCGTTGTTGTAGTTTGGGTTCCAAACCGCTGAACAATTAGGTTTTGCACCGTCGGGGTTAACCTCAATCTGATGACAGTTCAGTGGTACTGTTTACGTGGACTTAGTCGATTTTTTCTTGGGTGGATTTTCTCGATAATTTTTCAGACTGCAGTGAGATGTACACAGCATTTCTGCAATGTTCACGAGCAACATCCTTGCAACGCGCTGTTCCTCGACAATTTTCAAGTTAAAATTCAGAAACTTTAGAAATTTTTTTTCGAAAAAACGACTAAGTGCTTGTAAACAGTACCACTGAACTGTCAAAAAGGTTCAGCCGTTTAACACTGAGTTCATTTGTGACGTCACGCTGCAGAACCTAATTGACCAATGCACGGAATGAACTGCACGAACAAATTTGACGTTTGAGCGGTGCCGTGTTTACTAAAAATGAACACATGAATCATGCTCGCGTAACATTTAAAAATGGCCCATCAACTTTTGCACACAAAGCTTGTTAAGCCCTTTTCGCGCGAACCGAAGTACGCCCACGCATACCAACAACATCATCGGTTAGGGTTAATTCTCCCCTTCTCGATAAAGCTCTTGGTTTGCGTGGGTGTTCGTCGGTTCACGTGAAAAGGGCATAAAAAGTTGTTTATAAAAGTTGATTGGCCCTTTTCTAAGGTTACGCGAGCATTACATCTTGTGTTCATTTTTAGTAAACATGGCACCGCTCAAACGTCAATTTTTTTCGTGAGTTCATTCCGTGCATTGGTTAATACTCAAGCGTCGATCGAACAAGCGAACAATAATTGAGAGATTTTATGCCTTGTTCAGACTACAGAGTTATAACATGTTATAGCGCTATCTTGATGGTGGTGTCTGTGTTGCAATTATTTGACAACCGTTATAACATGTTATAACTCTCCAGTCTGGACAGCGTTTTAGACAGTAGATATCAGTGAAGTTTTTAGCTATCCTAAAAATGCACCCTAAAGTTCTTGACGCCTTATTAACAACATATGCAATGAATGAAAGCTGCGAATCCAAGATCACACCCAAGTCTTTCACCTGATTCACGCGTTCGATTGTCGAGCCAAGCAGGTCATAGCTAAATATTATCGGTTGTTGTTTTCGTGAGAACGTAATAGCGGCGCATTCGGCTGGGTTCACTA